AAAGCCCATAGGCCCTGGTAATTGTACCTGCACTCTGTCTGGATTTTCTGTCTGTTCTCATCTTTCCAACTGAATATGCATTGTCTTCTCATCCCATCGACATCTTTCTTCACTGGGTAGATCTGTCTGATGTGCAAGCCCAACAGGGTTCCATGTCACCTTGATGTCTCTTCCCGCAAGCAATCACCTGACAAAAAGAAGCATTCAACTCCAAGTTCCATCCTACTGGGGTTCTAGCTGCTATGGTGGGAGCAGGTTGTATTTCCACCAATCAGGAAACAGAACATCAGAATCTACTGAACATGGCTAGTCTACATGGCTCCATGCCAGTCCTCAGCAACCTACTTCTGCCAGCTACACCACACCTCTCTAGGGTTCTATGACTTCCTCAAACACCGCCACCAGCTGGGAACCTTCACTTTCAAACCATAGCAGGGGTTCTCAACTGCTACACCAGTGGTTCTCAACCTCCCTGATGCTGGGACCTTTTAATACAGTTCCTCATGTTGTGGTGACCCCCAACCATAAAATTACTTTGCTTGCTCTTTCATAACTAATTTTGCTACTGTTTTAATCATGATATAAATATCTGATACACCACCCCCATTGGGGAGCGAACCACAGGTTGAGAACCCCTGCTCCAACTGGGTGTGCTTGAGTCCCATAAATTTTACCAGTAGCCACTGAGAGTATGCTCACACAATCCACAGCGGTGGGCCTCTAACAGGTGGCCTTATTCCTATTGGAAGGGACAGTGAGGACCTGGCAGGGGAGAGAAGTCAACACTAGAGACAAGGGAGCATCAGGGTTTGTCACAGCTGCTTCCCAGGGCTGACTACCTCAGCATGGGCACTCCTGAAGTTTAGGGGAACTGACAGCCTTTGGTTTTTAAAATCTCAACAAACTCATCTACATGACTCGGAACTCATGATGTTTCTTCTTCCACTGAGATAACAGATGTTACTCTGGGCCCGTGACCATGCTGAACAACCGAGGATGAATTCAGAGAAACATCCCTCCAGTGGTTATTTTGCAGACAGATAAAAATAAAAAGAAATACTCGTGTAAGCAAATGACAGCAACAACCAGGCCTGGGGACTTGCTGGCATGCAGGTCTGAAAGAAGCAGGTTTGCTGTTTGCCTGCTTCCAGTCATCTGTCCCCGCCTCAATTACACTGAAGTCACCTGGAGCTAACAGAATGTCATTGTCACCATTTTGGCACTATGCAATTCAGCCTCATCCCAAAATACCCATCCATAGAACAGAATAATCCTAGAGGCCACACCCATGGCTGAAGGAGGATGTGTGCTGGGGGTGGTGCCCATGGCCTGGAAACCAGAGAATGAAATGGAAAGGTCAACTCCAGGGAGGTCTGCAATCTCCATGGTGACATCTCAAGTGACACAGAGGTCACGGAAGGTTGCACTTAAGAGCCACAAAGCAAGGCTGCCAAAGTCTCCGGGAGAAGGTCAAAGGAGGTAACTGAGCAGGAAAACCAGCCGGGGCACAGCCTGGGAAGGGACAGCAGCCAAGTGAGCGGAGGCTTCCAACCTTTCCCTTCTTTTCCATGGGAATCTGCGCTTGGGAATTTGTTTCCCCATGACATCTTCGCTCTGGAGGACTTGCTACCCAGACCCTTGGGCCCAAATGCAGGCATGACCCTTTGTCACAGTTCTGTTTGAAAGTAGCCCCATTGCTTCCAGTTGGTGGCTTCCCTGGGATCTTTTGTGGCATCCACAGTAGCCACGCCCACAGCTGTGTTTCAAAAGAAAGGGGCCAAGCTGGTGTGAAAAGCAGGTGTCTTTGCCATACTCCTCAGTGAGTAGATAATTGAGCCCTCAGGCTGCAGCTATAAGCTGTGCTTGCTGTTTCCCTTGCTGTGGGTTGTATGTGATGTGTCCCCCAAGGGTTCTTGTGCCGAGGTGGTGAGGACCTTTAAGAGGCGGAGCCTAGTGGAAAAGAGTGAGGTCACGGAAGCAAAGATTAGCTTGGGTCTCATGGGCCTGAACTAGTGCCTCCTATTGTGTTTCCATCTACCACAAGGCTTTCAATGGAACAGAGCCGACTTGAGCATCAGGCCCTTGAGACTGAACAACTAGACATTCTTACTTAATATGTTTTACATTGATTGAGTGATTGATTGATTGTACATGTGTGTATGCACACATGACCAGAGAGGTGAAGTCACATCTTTAGGTGGGTTCTGGGGACTGGACTCAGGTGGCCAGGTGTGACAGCAAGTACTTTAATGCCTGAGGTATCTCGCTGGTCCTATTATTATTTTTTTTAAGATTTATTTTATTTTTAATGTATGTGTTTGAGTGTGCATGTTGTTTGTGTATATGCTTGTGTTCACAGAGGCTAAGTAGGACGTTGAATCCCTTGGAGCTGGAGTCACAGTGTTTGGGAGCCTCCTGATGTGGATTCTCGTCCTCAAAAGAGCAGGAAGTGCTCTATCGCTGTGAAGAGACACCAAGACCACGGTAACTCTTCCGTAAAGAAAGCATTTGACTGGGGCTGCCTTGCAGTCTCAGGGGTTTAGTCCATTATCATCTGCTGTAGAATATTAGTTAAAGATGTGTTACATTTTTTAATGCTATGGAACATTTGTTTAATGATGCGAAGATGTGTTGCATTCTTGTATGTTGCATTTAACTCTGTGAAGCTGTGTTACTTTGCCTGTCTAAAACACCTGATTGTTTTAATAAAGAGCTGAATGGCCAATAGCAAGGCAGGAGAAAGGATAGGTGTGGATGGCAGGCAGAGAGAATAAATAGAAGGAGCAATAGAGAGGAAGAAAGAAGATCTAGGAGTGAGAGAAGGATGAGGACTGCAAGGGCCAGCCACCCAATCACTCGGCCAGACACAGAATAAGAAATAAAGAAAGATACGCAGAAACAGAGAAAGGTAAAAGCCCAGAGGCAATATGGGGTAATTTAAGAAAAGCTGGCTAGAAACAAGCCAAGCTAAGGCCAAAAGTAAACTTCCAAGAAACCAAGCCCGCTCTGCTATTTGGGTTGCACTCTGTCATGCTCCTGAAGTGCGGGAATCTGAGATGGACATTTCAGGTGACCTCTTTCCCTCTCTTTCCCCAGGGTGAACCAGGACCTCTGGAGTTTAGAAGCTTTCAGGCTAATGGAGGAGGAATAACAGGACCAGAGACAGATGCTGTCAGGCACACGCTGCTCTGGTTCCTCGGGGTGGGATAGGTAGATTCTCAGTTAAGTTTAGGCTCCCCAGAGCAGACCCCAGAATGATGATTTTGTTTCGTAGATTCTGTGCTGATGCCCAACTACCCCCAGGTCCACACCACAGACAGACCAAGCTACTGGGGGACAAGAGGTGATGCTGGGGCTCGGAGGATAGATCCCAGCATCTAGAGGAAATGGTTCTTGAAGGCAGAACTGCCCCAAAAGTAAGTGCTGTGGGAGCTACAATGGCTCAGGCTGCTGCACACTTTTCCAAAGACTTTTGTCAGCCAGCATCTCTCTGAGGGCCATAGCTTGGGGTGGGTTTTGCCTCACCTCCCCCCCGCACTGCCCTCTCTCTGCTCTTTGGTCTGTCTACTTTTAGTCCTGCGTGTTCCAACCACAAGGTAGGACTTTTGTTATTGTTTTTAACTGAGAATGGGTCTCACTATTGTAGCCTTGGCTTGCTATGTAGACAAGGCTGACCCTAAACTCAGAGATTTACCTGCCTCTGCCTCTCCTGAGTGCTGAGATTTAACGTGTGCACCACCATAAATGATGAGATTAAAGGTGTGTATTATCATAAATGATGAGATTAAAGGTGTGTACCACCAGCGCCAGTAAAAAAGAAGACTTTTGAAGGGCTACACTGAGAGAATAGGATTTTAGTCCACACTGAAAAATATCTACAGGAAGGAAAAGAATAGAATCCAAAAGCAGCTGCCAGAGTATAAAAAAACCAACTAGGCAGACTTATAAACCAGCTGGAGATGCAGGGACAGGCTTCCATAGACAGATTCAGGAGTACACAAGCATCAGGCTAAACGCTTACCTGCCGTTTCCGCCCCCTATCCCTTTCTTTCTCTCTCTCTCCTTTTCTGGATGGGCTTGCTCCTTGTGAGGTCCCTAGAGTTTAAGCTGGAGAAAGATGGGACCCAGCCCCCACCCCATTTTTTCCACAGACAGATGACACAAGTTGAGCACACACAAAACCAAGTCTGCAATTAGCTGTCCCCTAGGGCCTCACGCCACACTCCTGGGAACAAAGTTTCTACATCCTCCCTTCTGACCCTCAGACTACACTGGGAACTTCTGAGGACCTTAAATTGCAGCTTCCCCAAGCTGCCCTGCTTTGTGCTGAAGGGAAAACAGGGAGGGACCACCTCAAAGCCCAGTTCAGTATAATAAATGGCAAGCCTAAAGCAGGGCAGATCTGTGGCACAGCCAGTGAGCTGGCTCCACAGAGCTTGGCACTGTCTGTGCATCTGTTCTAAATCAGGGATCGAGCATCCCCAACCCGTGATCACTGAGTCGCTGTCCCCCAAGGCAGTCAGAGACAGCAAGTAGACACATGAACATCGCTGAGTTCCCCAAATATTTACACAAACAAATGACAGTGGAATTTGGCCTGTGGATAATAGTTTATGGACCCCTGTTCTAATTTGTGAAACAAGAATCAAAAAGGTGTCTAGCATGAAGGAATGTTGAGAAAAGTTAAAACACCCCAGGGCTCAGTAGAAAAACTGGCAGATGGAAGTGTGATCTTAACAGGGTGTGTTGGAAAGCTGTGCCAACTGCTCCAGATGGGTTCTAGGCTGATGTCGCTGCAGAACCTGGGTGCTCCCTTTGTCTACCTGGGCCAAAGCATTTTTAGAATGAGATGATGGCCCCAATGAGTGTTGGGTCACTCAAGTCAGATTCATTTAAAGAGTCCCCAAACACCTTATTATATCCATCTATCCACGCATATGGTTATATTAGGGGTGAAGGGGAAGGGAGGAAAGCCCATAGGCCCTGGTAATTGTACCTGCACTCTGTCTGGATTTTCTGTCTGTTCTCATCTTTCCAACTGAATATGCATTGTCTTCTCATCCCATCGACATCTTTCTTCACTGGGTAGATCTGTCTGATGTGCAAGCCCAACAGGGTTCCATGTCACCTTGATGTCTCTTCCCGCAAGCAATCACCTGACAAAAAGAAGCATTCAACTCCAAGTTCCATCCTACTGGGGTTCTAGCTGCTATGGTGGGAGCAGGTTGTATTTCCACCAATCAGGAAACAGAACATCAGAATCTACTGAACATGGCTAGTCTACATGGCTCCATGCCAGTCCTCAGCAACCTACTTCTGCCAGCTACACCACACCTCTCTAGGGTTCTATGACTTCCTCAAACACCGCCACCAGCTGGGAACCTTCACTTTCAAACCATAGCAGGGGTTCTCAACTGCTACACCAGTGGTTCTCAACCTCCCTGATGCTGGGACCTTTTAATACAGTTCCTCATGTTGTGGTGACCCCCAACCATAAAATTACTTTGGTTGCTACTTCATAGCTAATTTTGCTACTGTTTTAATCATGATATAAATATCTGATACACCACCCCCATTGGGGAGCGACCCACAGTGGTTGAAGAGAACCACTGCTCTTCAACCTTCTACAGTCTTCTTTGATTCGACAGTCCCCAGAAGGAGGGTGTGTGCCATCACCCAAGCTGGCTGTCCTTGCTGAGAACTGGAGTGAAGACAAAAGGAGACTGCATGTGTTGTTTTCCCCAATTTTGTAAATCATGTTTTTAGTTTTCTACTGCTGTGTGCCAATCACTGTTAAACCAAGTGACTTGAAGCAATAAACATCTTTGCCTACAGTGTCTGTGTATAGGGAAATCCTGAGACACTTAGCCAGAAGGCTCTGGCCTGAGTCTGAAGGCAAGATATTGGCATCTGAAGACTTGAATGGATTGCTTCTACCCCAGGGCTCTTGGCAGGCAGTGCCATTCATTGTGGCTGCTTACTGGGGACCCCAGCTCCTTGGCGTTGGATTATTTCATCCAGCTGCCTAAGCCACTTTATGCTGTCGGCTGGATTCCTCCAGAGAGGACTAAAGAAAAAGTAAGGAGCACGGTGATGCCTTGGGTTGCATGTCCTTAGGGAGCCAAATGTCTCACCTCTGCTAAATTCTATTCAGGGGTAGGAAGAGTCACAAAGCCCAGCCCACATTCAGGAGGAGGGAGATGAAGCCAGTTCTTGAAGGAACTGTGTCCAAGAATCAGTGGGCCTGTTTTAAGACCACCAGTCACCCATGCCCTGGCTTTGCAAGCAGCATACTGATGCATGCAGCTGCATAGGGGAAGAATCCACTGTGCCCTCTTACTCTCACAATCACAAATGCCACTTTCTCCCCCAAGCTCCAGTTTCAGCAGTAGAGAATGACAAGGAACTGGGTGTTATAACATACATCTCAGCACTTGGCAATGGGACAGGAGGATTAAGAGTTCAAGGTCAGCTTCTGATACATAGTGAACTTGTCTAGAAAAGAAACAACACAAAGGGCTGTGAGCAGCAGCAGCAGCAGCAGCAGCAGCAGCAGGGGAAACTGGGAGAGGAGGAGAAACAGAAAAAGAGAAAGAAGGAAGGGAGACGGAAGATAAGTGAGAGGAAGGAGGGGGGGAAGGAACAAGAGGAGAAGGGGGAGGGGAAGAGGGCGGAGATGAGGATGAGCAGGAGGAGGAGGGAGAAGGAATGGAAAGGGTTGGAGTGAGGCTACAGTACAGCACTAGCACCAAAGGGGCGAATCTGCAGGTGCAACCAATCTTGATTGCAAGTGGGTGGAGCAATTGCATCCAGGGCAGAGGTGCTGCGTCCTCACCAGACATGTGCAGATGCTGGTCTTGGTGTTTTCTAAGGAATCCAGTGTAGCAATGCCTTACATGTGTTAGGTATTAGGAGTTGTCTGCAGATGGTCTGATGTGCACAAGAGGATGTGTTTTGGTTATATATGGACGGGGTTTCTTGGGGACCCTGGAACCAACCTCCCTGGATGCACAGGAATTGATGTACATTATCTAAGGCTTCTACCAAGGCCTCTTCATGGACATGTGATGGGCTTTGGGGGTTTGACTGAATCTCCAATCACCGGGTTTCCTCACTGTCATGAACCTCCTAGTCGTTTGGTGCTAGGAGAGGCTGACAGCATGGCTGTAGAGCATCCTTCCTCACTGTCATGAACCTCCTAGTCGTTTGGTGCTAGGAGAGGCTGACTGTAGCATGGCTGTAGAGCATCTGAATACCCTTTGTCCTTGTCAGCACATCAAGGAGCTAGCAGCTTCTGCTATTCTCCATGCAGCCTTCACTCCCTCCGCATTCTGTCCTCTGCAGGACCCAAGGGAGGTGAGCCATAGTGAATGCAGGGACTTGGGCCTCTCTCTGGGAGGTCTTCCCATATGGACACTTCATCTATCGTCACTTTGGAGTCTCCTAACTGAAGGGTCACCAACAATTGTCCAAGGGGCATTATGGGTTGGCAGAGGATATGCCCAAATATTCAGAACCCTAATTTTCAAATACATCAAAGCTTCCTGCAGACACACATTCCTTGTGCCATTATTAAAGCCAGAAAGACGTTTCCATTGCTTCACATTCTTGCTGAAACAAATCACTGCCTGATGCAGTAAGAGGGCCTGCCTGGCACAGCCCTGTTTACAGAGTCGCAGAAGGAGGTGGGGCAGGGAGCAGAAAGCCCATGCACACTATACTGAGAGCATCCTGTGGCTGTGAGCTGCAGGCGAGTGGGAGCAATTAACATTCTTCTCTGAGCAGAAGGCAATCCTGCGGTTGGTACCCCTTGGCGCCTGGCCGCCGTGAGTCAGGATCCCCCAAGTGTCTGCAGCCTATTTCCTGGTGACTGTGCCCTGCACCATCCGAGTCTGTGAATCTGGTGGCTGACCTCTACCACCTGGAAATGGCGTGGACATGGCATTAGTGGTCCATGCTGGGTCCTCTGTGATTTCTAAACTTGGATGCCTGCCCAGAGTCCTCTGCATGCCGCCTAGCCATGATTTCCTGAACACCTCCTGGGTCCTGAGTTTCACAGAATGAAATTGACATGAAAGCAGGAACCTGAGACCCTTGAGAAGCTCCTTAAAGAGCTGGTAAAAATTATCTCAGCTCAAAGAAAGGTGAAGGGGGGACAGGGAGAAGGGTCAAGCTAAATACATTGAGAGTGAGGGGTGAGGTCTCTTTCCAAGTTTACTATTAGTGATAACTCAATACTGCCTGAGAGGTCCCCCCAAATACTTAAAGCTTCAGCATCAATCACGTTTCTATAACACAATGAAAGGACTTGCTTCCTGTCGAAGGGAGAGCTTCCTCTGGAACACCACAGAGAAAGACCCCAGATTCTGGTCCCTCAAAGGCTCCAAAAAAAAGACAGCCACATTCCTAATGAGGGAAACCCTATACCCATGTTCTTCAGATGGGTCTCTAGGCCTGACCTGACCTCCAAACTAGAAATTAGCAAAGCCTAGAACCCTGTCAAGTCCTGGTCCAAGTAGGGTCTGAGCCCCAGTCTTGTCCAGTCATGTTCACTAGGAAAGGCAGGATGGGCTGTGTGACCATTCTTGTTACATTGACTATGTTAACAGTATTATTGGAAGTTAACATGACCTGTCTAAGGGGAGCCAAGAAGCTGGCTAAACTTTATTTCTATATGTGTATGAGGAGCTGTCTTAGGGAGAGATTGACCCTGGAAATCAATGGACTGAAAAGAATGTCTGTCCTTACCAGTGTGAGATGGCTCCACCCAATCCCGTGTGGGACAGAATCTCAAGAAGGGTGTGGGGGCTAGTGTCAAATGTCAACCTAGAATCATCTAGAAAACAGGCCTCTGGGCATGTGTGTGGGGAATTATCTTGATTGTATTAACTGGGGTGGGAAGACCCACCCACTGAGGGTGGCACCATTCCTTAGTTGGCCCTTAGACTGCACAAAGGGAAAGGGAGCAAGCAGCAGCATGCGCCCATTACTCCTGCTGATGCAACGTGACCAGCTACTTCAAACATGGCTCCCACCATGGTAGACTCAACCCTTGAACTGTGGGTAAGGATATACTCTTCCACCTGGAGTTGCCTTTGACATGATAATCCATCATAGCAACAGGAAAGGGAACTGAGACAGAGGATGAGTGTCCCATGCATCCATCTGCTCTTGGACATCTGAGCTCTGGCTGTGACCTTTGGACTCCCCAGACTGACCCCACGAGTCATCCACATCTCAGGCTTTCAGACTCAGACTGAATAAACGACCCCAGTCGTTTATCTGGGTGAACTGCTTGCTGAAAGCAAATCATGGGGCGCTTCCCGGCCTAGTCAATTCCTGCACAGAATCCCCTTGGGTACGGATGCATTTCCTTTGGCTCTATTCCACAGAAACCGTGGCTGACTCGGACAGACGGACAGACGTTTGATGTCACTCCCTTCAGCAGCTCCATCCCTTGTTAGCCTCTTCCTTTCTCTCCTGTGCACATCACAGATTGCTCAAGCTGACCAGATTCTGAGTAAGACAGGAAACATTTAGGGTAATGCCTGGATCCTCTGACTAGCAAGGATTCCCCCTTCAACAACTGAATGACTGACCCTACCCCTTTGGTCTCCCACAGACTTTTATGGTTCCCTTGTGTAGCCTGGCTCTGTGTCCTCCATCTTGCTTGGCCAGATCCAAACATTGAGAGAGAATCCAAAGATTCTCAGGTCTTGTCCACAAATCATGACAATAAACCTTCCCATGGTCAGCTCCAAGGTCTCTGTGGGGTCTTGCAACATACAGTGATAGCAGCCACCACCCGTGACCCTTTTGTTGTGTATCACGTATCACACCCCAGCTTGCACTATGATTTTTATGTGCCCCCTCCTTTCAACTTCCCAACAGCCTTTGAGATAGCTGTTTGGCTTGTTTCTGCTTACCAAGGAATGCTACACATTGGTACTTACTGGTCACCTCTTCTCCACCCTGGCTGTTGGCCACAAACACTTGTCGTGTTCTCTTACTTTACTCCCGTGGAAGCCCCATGAGACTTGGCCACTTCACAGCTAGGAACACTGGGCACTTGGAAAAGGCCAAAGACCACCATAAGCATGAGAACTGAAGAATCCACCCCAGGCAATGCTCTTCAGAGCACCTCTGTAGCCACCCAAGTTCCTCGTGGGGTTCTCTCTCTGAACGGTTCTGTTCTAATGAGCTCTCTGAGGTGGCCCTACTACCCTTCATGAAGGGTTCCCCCTGTGTAGGACATCAAGTCAGCTCTCCTGGCTGTACTTGTAGGGCAGTGACCCCAGCCCGCTTCCCCCAGGTGGACCAGTGTTGAGGTGTAGACTTCAGTAGAAGACTCCTCCCACTTTGTGAGGAGGGGGTTGGCTGACAGCTGACACAGAAAACTCTGAACAATGAGTGCATTTGAAATGGAGATTAAGCTCAATCCACAGGAGGGGTGGTGGGAGGGGTGTCAGAGTGGCACTAGGGACATCTGACATAATCACAACCTTATGTTGTTCGAGAAAGGGAATAGTTTCCCCCTTTTACCCAAGGACCCTGGAAACTTCTTCAGCGAATCAACTTCAAACCCTGATTAAGTTAAACTCACTGTGTCAGAGGCAGAAGGAGTGAAAACCTGCCTTCCAGCATCGTGTGGCTCCCAGCATTCCTGGCCATTAACCATATTATATTGACAAGAGATACTGTGTGTAGAAAAAGAAAATTTCAGAGTCTCTTGAGTGAAACTAAATCCCCTAAAGATCATGGTACTCATTCTTCGTACGGCTTTCTAGGTGCACTTGAAACCTAAGCTCACACAGACCGAATCGTTGAAAGAACAATCCACTAGGAAGGAAGATGCATCATTTACGGGCATTTGGTCTTCATTTTAACTACTGAGTTTAACAATGCTGAAGCAGCTCTCTGCCCACCTTCTGCACAAGGACTCGTTTCCAGCATCATTTTCAACACTCACTAATAAGAGCTGTAATCCGTGTCTCATAAAATCCCCCCTGCTCGTGCAGTTGGACTTTGAAATGAACAACAACTGCATTGACTTCAGCCTCCAGTCCTGCTTCATGCACTTCCAGCCTCCCAAGCACGTCTTTGCCGACTGGCATCGGATAATGGGCACCCAGAGTGTTCAGGAAATGGCTCCATTTTTTTTTTTACCTCATTATTCTGATTAGTGTGGAATGGTACCACTCCGACTTCATTTTACAACCAGCACCAAGGAAACACTGGTTCTCTCTGGAGGCTCTTTCTCCTTCCAAATTGTAGCCTCTGCATGAATGACTCCTCCTCAGGACAGAAAACTATCGCTGAAGAAGACAAAGACAGTCCTAGTGAGTGACTGCACCTAGCCTCCAAACAAAATGCTTAACAATGACATCACCATCCAAAGGTCCTTGGGAAACCAAGAATCATGACCTGGGATTGCCAGAATAAGCTTTTAAACCTCGAGGGTGAAAGGCGACTCGCTCTTGCTTTCTGAGGGGTCTGAGGGAACCTGAGCAGGCCTCTCATCTGTGGGCACAAGCATTCAGTGGGCTTTCAAAGGACCCTTCCCCCTCCCAGGAAGGCCCAAACCCTGGTAGAGGCTTTTATTTCCATGACTTAGATGATTTACCAGGTGCCAGCTGCTTTTCCTAAATGAGGCCCAGCTGGAAACACACCCCCATAGTTCCTGAGGTGCCTGTGTCTCTTGTTCTGTCTGCCCCGCCCCCCGAAAGCAAGATTCTGCTCCCCAAAGCAGAATTCTTTCTGTTTCTCAGACACAGCCTGAAATCTGAGGTGCCCCTCACCTGCCACTTTCAGTTGTCTCTGTGTGCCTTCTCATGACGTACCGCCTTCATTGGGGATTTTCAGCTCTGTTGGCTCACTGAACACTGCTGCCATATCCCTGGGATAAAGAATGAGGTTCTGTACACGAGCCCCATACAGGTTTGAGCAGGAGAGCTATGACCCAGCACTATCAAAACCACCATGGCAAAGGAGAGCAGACCTTCCTCTGCTGTGGTGGATAGGATGGGAAAGGCTCCCTGGCAGAGCAAAGCTTACCACACTCTAACTCGCCTGACTTGCAGATAACGGCAATCTTATTTGTGAAAATGGTATATGCAGACAGTTAGATGTTTCCCCTTAATTAATGGCTTGAAGTCTGAAGACAGGCGGTATATTCTTCTGTAGTAAGCAGTACAGGGACCTATATTTTAGCCATAAATGTCATGTTACTGGACACTCCACTACTACCCAAGTCATTAAGAGCTAATGCCTAGATTACCACTGTCATGACAGCATGACTTTCTTCCTTTGCCTCTGTGTAGGGTTTTGCACTTCATCAGGCATGCCCAGTAAACATTAACTCTAGAGAGCCTGGACATGATGCTTATATGCTGGAGGAGAACATGAATCCAGGTACATTGCCTGGACACTACCTTAGGTGATTATCTGATGCTGAGGTCTTTTCTAAGTTCATGGCTTGTTCAGTCATTGCCAGAGCTGACAGAGACCATTCACAGCTATAGTAGACAAGCAGATAGATCATTGTCTTGATTGCTAAGCAGTAGGTCATCCTTTCTGAAGTTCATTAAAAGTAGAGTCCTGTCCAAGACAGACTAGAGTCCATACCTGTGTGTCACACACACTCTATCCCTCAGACTATATAGGGCCTTGGACAGCCACGTTGGTGTCTGTGTCCAAGAGCTATGTCTATGTGTATGTTTGTGCACGTGACTACATATGTACATGGGCATTGTGTGTGTGGAGGTCAGTGGCCAACCTCAAGTGCCATTCCTCAGCAGCCCTCTACATTGTTATTTTAAGACAGGGTCTCATGGTGAATTCTTGACCGTCCCAGAAATTTCTGTGTAGACTAGGCTACCCCCAAACTCACAGCGATCTGCTTGTCTCTGCCTCCAGAATGCTTGAATTAAAGGCATGTGCCACCATGCCTGACTATGTCCAGCTTTTCATGTGAGCACTGGAGAGCCAATGTCAGGTCTTCATGCTTGTGTAGCAAGCATATTTCTGACTCAGCCATCTCCCCAGCCCCACCATGCTAGATCTTGGTGTCACTTGGTTCTGGATAATGTTTTATGCCTTTGAAGCTCTCCTCGAGTCCAGTCAAGTACCAGCAGTGACCCCCCCCCAAGTCTTCCCAGCTTCCAGAAGAAGACCTCAGGGGATTTTGATGCAATCTTTAAAGTCTGGTTAACTTTACAAGAATTTTGAACCCCAGTCTCTAATAATTAATGTCTAAAGCATGACCCAAGTGCCAGAGGCTGATGTATATTTTTCAGTCTCTGTTCCCTGAAGAGTGAAAAAACAATACTTTACAACTGTCCAGGGCTGCTCTTTTCTCCAGGCTGGGTGCTTCGAGTCCTTCGCTCATTCAACAAAGCAAAACACAGTTGCCCCATTTGTCTTGTTTTCTAAACATTTGTCCATTTTGTTAGCCTCCCTCTGAACCAACTTTTTCCCAGTGACCTTCATTTTGGAGGCCAGAACAGGACATGGTTTATGATAACCAAATTGCTGCCAAATATCATTAAGATGGTCATTATGCTAACACATGATGGTGCTTTAGACTTCTTCCCAGAGCACAATTCCACCCCTGACTCTGGCTTCTCTACTGCTTGGTCTTTTCCACACATGTGAGTGTATGACTTGTTCATCCCTGAACCCTGTTTCCTACTCTCGTGAGTCATACTATGTCAAAATCTCCATTGCGTTGCTTCCTGTTTAGGGTAGAGAGACCATAGAACTTTTTGGAAAATCCATTTCCTTTTTCTTGTGCAATATCTTTCTCTACTTCTCCAGGCAGTGTAGGTACAGAGATGCTGCAGTGTGAGCTGGGAAAAGCCAAAAGTGATATGCCAGAGGGTGTGGGGAAACTCTTCAAAGCTGGTGTCAGCTCTGGAAAGGAGCGTAGGGAAGGCTGACTGTGTCACGGGTTGATGCATGATTCACCTTTCCTAGGATACTTCCGGTCAGGTCAGTAGCTTCCCAGTAATTCTGTGTAAGCGGGTGTCTCTATGATGCATGCGGGGTGAGGTCAGCAATATAGTTCTTTCTTGAATTGTCTTTCAGCCTCCTAGCATGTTGAGCTAGCAATTTACTCTCCTCGAGTCCAGTCAAGTACCAGCAGTGACCCCCCCCCAAGTCTTCCCAGCTTCCAGAAGAAGACCTCAGGGGATTTTGATGCAATCTTTAAAGTCTGGTTAACTTTACAAGAATTTTGAACCCCAGTCTCTAATAATTAATGTCTAAAGCATGACCCAAGTGCCAGAGGCTGATGTATATTTTTCAGTCTCTGTTCCCTGAAGAGTGAAAAAACAATACTTTACAACTGTCCAGGGCTGCTCTTTTCTCCAGGCTGGGTGCTTCGAGTCCTTCGCTCATTCAACAAAGCAAAACACAGTTGCCCCATTTGTCTTGTTTTCTAAACATTTGTCCATTTTGTTAGCCTCCCTCTGAACCAACTTTTTCCCAGTGACCTTCATTTTGGAGGCCAGAACAGGACATGGTTTATGATAACCAAATTGCTGCCAAATATCATTAAGATGGTCATTATGCTAACACATGATGGTGCTTTAGACTTCTTCCCAGAGCACAATTCCACCCCTGACTCTGGCTTCTCTACTGCTTGGTCTTTTCCACACATGTGAGTGTATGACTTGTTCATCCCTGAACCCTGTTTCCTACTCTCGTGAGTCATACTATGTCAAAATCTCCATTGCGTTGCTTCCTGTTTAGGGTAGAGAGACCATAGAACTTTTTGGAAAATCCATTTCCTTTTTCTTGTGCAATATCTTTCTCTACTTCTCCAGGCAGTGTAGGTACAGAGATGCTGCAGTGTGAGCTGGGAAAAGCCAAAAGTGATATGCCAGAGGGTGTGGGGAAACTCTTCAAAGCTGGTGTCAGCTCTGGAAAGGAGCGTAGGGAAGGCTGACTGTGTCACGGGTTGATGCATGATTCACCTTTCCTAGGATACTTCCGGTCAGGTCAGTAGCTTCCCAGTAATTCTGTGTAAGCGGGTGTCTCTATGATGCATGCGGAGTGAGGTCAGCAATATAGTTCTTTCTTGAATTGTCTTTCATCCTCCTAGCATGTTGAGCTAGCAATTTAAACATTCTATGTCTTAGACAGTGAGGGAAGAAAGGCTTCTTATAGTTCATGATTGGCCATGTCATGCTTTGACATGACTGTTTATTCATTCATGCATTCACTCATACCCTCACTCATTCATTCATCCCTCCCACACACTTTCAGAGTGCTCCTACTGTGTGTGGCACAGAGGCCAGGGGAGGACTTTGGTGCCCTGCTCTGTCATTTTCTATCTTATTCCCCTCAGACAGGGTGTCTCATTGAACCTGGAGCTCGGCTAGCAGCAGCAAGCCTCAGGCCTCCACCCCCACAATGTTGGTGTTACAGGCACAAGTGCAGCCATGCCTGACTTTCCACAGGCATCTTGGCAATCTAAGCTCAGATCCTCATGTTTGCATAGCAACACTGTCTCCCACTAAGCTATCTCCCCAGGCATTACCTGATTTTTTTAAATGACCCCTCCTATTGCAAACAAAACATGCCACAAAATAAAAACCCTTTCCTATTTAATCTGGAGCCAGATTTCTGTGCAAAATGACACTTTAAAATTAGTTACTGTGACTATTACATAAAGCTTTGAATGCGGATCAAGTAATT